TTCACTGTGGCAAATAAGCAAAACTATCATTTTAAGTCAACCCATCACCATTAAGGAAAACTCCAATGAATTTTAACCTCTCACTGGTAGAAGTGTACCCTTCGCCATGGCGAACAAGGTTCTGACCAACAGTGGTTCGATTAAAACCATGGTGATGGAAGGCATACGTGACTTAATATATCTTATTTGAGAGTTTTTATTTAATGCCCCGGCGAAGTTCATGCACACATGATCGCTGCGGAGAAGTTTTTTTTTGTTGCGGCGACCGTGAACTTCCAGAAAACACAAATCGTTCTAGAGAGTTTTATGTCACGGCAAAGTTTTATTTTGCCGCGGCTAGGTCTACTTTTTCAGAATTTCGCCGCAGCGAAGGTTTATTTCATCGCGGCCAGATTAATTTTTTGCATCTCGCTGCGGCGAAGCATTATTTTGCTGCGGCTTCTACCGCAAAATAGTAAATCAGGCACAGTAACGTCTTTTGCAATTTTTCATATAATGACACGGATCCAAATCAAATCTAATGCTTAAACATTCGACCAGCATACCAACCAACCAATACACATTCAATCAACACATTATTTAAACAATTGATCAATTAAGATATTCAACATACAGAATTTTTCCAAATTTAAAAAAACACTTCAAATCATGCAATAACATGTTATCAAACAAATATACATGTTATCACACATCAATTAAACAATATAATCTAATCCCCGAGGCTCTGATACCACTGTAAGTAATTGATCTACCATACGCAGCGAAAAACAAAAATTCAATCGGTAAATCAATTACCTTTCTTTGCCCAGATCTGAGTATAGATTATACCGTTTACATGTTTATAAACAAAATCTGTATAAAGTAAATCCATTCAAGGATTAGAATACTTACGTACGTTTGGAGGCTCCTTTGAATATCTCTGATTTCGGACATGAATACTGTTCACGGTTCCTGTTTACCGTACTATTCACGATACTGTTTACGGTTCCTGTTTACCATCTACTGTTCATGGTACTGTTTACTATTACTGTTCATGGTTACTTGTTCACGGTCTACTATCACGGTTACTGTTCATGACTACTGTTTAGGGTCACTATTCACAGTCTACTGTTCACGTGATTTTTCGTCAATCGATCCAAAGTAGGAGCGCACTCACAGAAGTCCACACGAAGATATTCCGAAGAACCCTTGATTATTTTGCTAAAACAATCAAGGGCTTCAAGAATCAAGAAAGAAGAACAAGAAAAGTTCGCGAACGTTAGTTGTTCGTTCGATTACTGTTCGATAATGTTCGCGAACATTTGTTCGCGAACAGTTCGATAATATGTTCGTTCGATTATGTTCGCGAACAATCGTTCGATTGTTCGTTCGTTTATGTTCGAAAAATATGTTATGCATTATTATAATTAAATTTTGTTTTTCATTTTTATATTATGTTTGATTTAGTTTGGATGAATTTTTTTTAATCAATAATAAAATATTATGGTACTTTTGTTTTTCTTATATATATAATATGTTTGGATTTTTTTCAAAATGTCATCAATAATTAAATATATAAGTATATAGCATTTTAATTAAAAAGTAATAAATTTGTTTTTCTTATATATATAATATGTTTGGATTTTTTTCAAAATGTCATCAATAATTAAATATATAAGTATATAGCATTTTAATTAAAAAGTAATAAATTTGTTTTTCTTATATATATAATATGTTTGGATTTTTTTTTCCAAATGTTATCAATAATTAAATATATAAGTATATAGCATTTTAATTAAAAAGTAATAAATTATTATGATACATAGCATGACAAATTTAATAACATAATAGATTGTACAATCAAGTGATATATAATATAGTAAATCCAATAACATAATAGTTTCATATTTTTTTAAATGTAATCAATAATTAAATATTATAAGATAGCATTTCAATTAATAAATAATAAATATAGTATGGTAAATTGATAAACATAACATATTGTATAATTAAGTGATGTATAGTATAACAAATTTAATAATATAATAGCTTAATTAAACCTAAATTAATCACACATTTGTATTGATCATTTATTACAATAAATCCTCATATCACTATGAATTTATAGGCGTTGATACAAAATATATATATATAGACAGTAATGATAATATAACAAATTAATCACATATATGTATTGATCATATATTACAATAGACTTTTATTCCACTATAAATTTTTGGGTATTGATACAAAATATATATGTAAACATTTAAAACATTTATGATAATTTATGTAATGATAATAAATATATGATAACCTATAATTTCGATAATTTCATAACATATTTAATAAATTTAACCTATGTTAATATATGTATGATAATAATTTTGTATATATATAATTACACATTATATATAACAAATTAATCACACATATGTATTGATCATATATTATAATAGACCCTCATTTCACTATAAATTTATGGGTGTTAATATAAAATATATATGTAAACATTTAAAACATTTACGATAATTTATTTAATGACAATAAATATATGATAACCTATGATTTTGGTAATTTTATAGCATATTAAACATATTTAATTTATGATTAATATATGTATGATAATAATTTTGTACATACACAATTATACATTTTATATATATATATGCTTAGAGGTTTGATTCCTATTTGGATAAGTCCTATACGAAGATAATTATAACTCTTTTTGTATTTTTTAACCATTTCTTTAGATAATAATTGAGTTATTTGAGTAGAATTGTTTATCTTAAGAGTTTTTTCTTCTGTTTTAATAATGTATTTTAATTTGTTTAAAGGGTTAACTCTATTAAGCCTTGATAATTTTCCTTCTTTGTAAACATCAGATACATAAATTTTGGGAATGTTCCATTTATCAAAATGTTTTTGTAAATCTTGAGGTCTTATGACCTGTTTATCTTTTTGTGTACAAGCATGACTTGTTTTAATTATGTTGTCATTTTGATTTATACAAATCTCTTCTTGATGAACAATCTATTCATCTCTAATATTAGAACTGGAAGTAGACATTAATCTAGAAAAGTTTTCCATTTTGTGAATCACTTATTTCTTTCCCTATAGTGGTTGATCTAAGGGACTTACAACGGTTAGATCCTACAGCCCTACACAACCCAAAAAGACTCGGTACTCAAAATAATTAATAAACAAAATTTTAACAATCCTAAATCACTGCCTCCTCCCTGGCTCTGAATCTCTAATACCAGAGGGAACAATCATATATATATATATATATATTTTTTTTTTTTTTTTTTTTTTATTTTTTTTGAAAATCCAAAGTTCAAAGTTGAAACCCACTTTTTCCCAGCCCAAATTTTCAAAATCCAAAGTCTAATCTAAACCCACAATTTCCTAGCCCAAATTTTTAAAAATCCAAAGTCCAAATCCACATTTTTCCTTACCCGGCCCAAAGTCCAAAATCCAAATCCCTAATTCACCTTTTTCCTTTCCCTAATTCTGATTTGCGATAGCCTCAAGACTCAAGACTCAAGACTCAAGGGTCAAGAGTCAAGCCCTCACTCAGACACTCACAATCCCACATCACAGATTCGCAGTTCACACTTCAGTCTTCACAGCTCAAATTTTTTCTGCAGTTTTCTGCTTGGTCAACGACAACCCCAGTGCCTCAACAGTCAACACTCAGCAGTTCGGCTCTTGAGAAAAGTCCATATTCAAAGAAGCTGCAGTTTTAATTTTCTCGTAAGTTATTTTTCTGTTTTCTGTTTTCATGAATCGCTGTTTGGCTCTTGGGGAAAGTCCATATTCGTTTAATTTTGCTCATTTTACTCTGGGACAAACAGATCCATATATTTTTCAAATAACATATTTGTCTGAAAATTTTCATACAGCTTTTTGCTAATATTTGTTTGAAAAGCTTTATTGGGCTAATAAAAGAAGCAAAAAACCATGTAAATATGCTAGATTGCAAGTTTCTAGTGCTAAGAGCCTAAGACCTCCCCTCTAAGCCTAGGCAAAACCTGCTCGTATTTTTCAATAATAGCTAACCTGCAGTTGACATAACATGAGTGTTTCCAAATATGTCTATTGTTTTCTTTCAATATGAGTTACAAACGACTCAAGTATAATAGTTGTATAAGCAATTACAGATTTTCCTTATTTTCATCGTTGATATTAATTTTGTTTCTATGAGTTGTAGACTAATTAAAGTTAAAAGAAAACCCCTTTTATAGTTTCTGTTGCAATACCAACAAACCTACTACAAATAATTTATGTTGCTAAACTGTAACATAGGGAGTTCCTTTTACAGATGCTAGATATACCTGCATGTTCAAACATAAAATAATCACATCAAAATTCCAAAACAGGATTGTTAAACAAAAAGGAGATTCAGAGGCAAAAGAAATCAACGCAACACTGTGGCATCTAGATCAAGCCGAGAAGGCCGAAAGAAGGGTGTTTTGCTTGTGCATTTTCAACATCCATTGCTTCTGGAAGGTATTAAATTTTATTTCGAAATCATTTTACAATTCTTGTGTTATCATCAGCTTCAGTGTTGTAAATCATTTCAATTTGTGAATTCTTTCTCTCATGATATAAATATCAGTGAAATAATTGAAGACTTCGAAGCCCCAACCACAAGGGAATCAAATACAATTAGTTCTACCTTGGTTACTCAAGCAACAAGTCAAGAACAAGAGGAGACCCAAGGGGGTGATGTTAACGCATTTGGAAGGAAGAAGAGGGCAAAGACATCGACGGTGCGGAATGATTTCAAAGAGGTGTTACAACTGCCCGACAGAAAGCTAAAGACATAATGCATTCATTGTAAGATAATCTATGTGCTACCGAAAACGAGGCCCACTACTCAACTTAAACGACATTCAGAGGAATGTCTTAGGAAAAGGCTTAATGAAAGGCAAGATAGTGGTGGACAACAATTTTTCCAGCCAAGTTCAAGTTGTGGTGAGTCACAACCCCCTGTTCTTTGGGATGGCAAATTTGATATGGCGAGGATGAGGGAAAGAGCTGCGCAATGGGTCATGATGCATGAGCATCCTTTTACCATTGTGGAGGAAGAAGGTTTCAATCTAATGCAAAAAAGCGGGATGCCTGAGTGGGAAAAAATATCGCGCACAACAAATAAAAAAGATTGTGTGTCTGTGTTTGAGATTGAGAAGAAGAAGTTAATGAATGTTTTGAAGAATGTCAACAAGATAAGCTTGACGATGGATTTGTGGAAGTCAAGCAACTAGAATATAGAATATATGGTTATAACTAGACATTTTATTGATGGTAACTGGAGGTTGCAGAAAAGGGTATTGAGCTTTGTACATATTGATCCTCCTCACACGGGTGTTCAAATTGCTGATTCGGTGTATAAATGTCTAAAGGAATGGGGTATTGAAAACAAGGAGTTCACTATCTCTGTCGATAATGCTTCTAGTAATGATGTAGAAATCAAAACATTAAGAGAGAATTTTTCAGTAACCAGGCGGTTGGTTTGTGGAGGGAAGCTATTCCATGTGCGTTGTTGTGCACATATCTTGAATCTTTTGGTTCAAGATGGCCTTTCTAAGATTAAGGATATTGTTAAAAAAATCCATGACAGTGTGTGGTACATCAAGCAATCGGAGAGCAGGGTCCAAATTTTCTCACAGATTGTGCAACAACTACAGTTGCCTAGTCGAAAGTTGATTTTAGATTGTAAAACAAGATGGAATTCGACGTATGAGATGATGGTAATTGCACTACAATTTAAAAATGTGTTTCCGAGATTCAAAGACAGGGACTCTGGGTTTATTTATTCTCCTAGTGATGAGGATTGGGAGAAAGTTCAGAAGGTATGTGATATTTTGGGAGTTTTTAGTACGGTGACCAATTTAATCTCTGGGAGTGATTACCCTACTTCTAATATATTTTTAAATGAGGTTTTTCGGATCAAAAAAATGCTTGATAAAAAGGCAATAGATGAAAATGAATTTATTCGAGTTATGGTGAAAAAGATGAAGGAGAAGTTTGATAAATATTGGGGTGAATGTAATTTGTTGATGTCGATTGCCGCTGTCTTGGATCTGAGATATAAAATGAGGGTGATTGAAGTTTCTTTCCCTAGACTGTATCCCGAGTCTGAAGCACGAGCAAATATCACCAAACTACGGGATGCATTGTATGAGTTGTACAAGGAATATGTAGAGGAATTCCACTCTTCCAACAATGAAGAAAATGTTGGAATGAGCATGTCTACTCAGATGAATGTAGGAACCGAAGCTCATACTTATGGGGAATTTGATTTAGAGCATTATCTTATTGAGGATGAAGATATTCATTCAGAAAAGTCAGAGCTGGATTGTTATTTGGAGGAGTCACGTTATGTTTGTCAACCAGGTACAAACACATTTGATGCACTAGTGTGGTGGAGGGCGAACATCATGAAGCATAAGATTTTATCTAGGATGACTCGTGATATACTAGTCATTCCTATAACCACGGTGGCTTCGGAGGCGACTTTTAATGCTGGTGGCAGAGTTATTGACCCTTATCGATCATCATTGTCTCCGACAACTGTAGAAGTGCTACTTTGTGGTGGAGATTGGTGTCGCAATCTCCATGGAATAAAGAAAAAGAGCAAAGTAAGATTTATGTTTTTAAGTTATATAAGTATTTAATTATTTTAATGGTTTGATATTTATTCTAACTTAATTTTTTTTTCTTTTTGTATTTTAGACAGAGGAGAAATTGGAGATTGATCTTTCCATCAATTGAATCAAGTATATTGATATATGATTATGTTTTTAAGTGTAGCCATATTTAAAATCAGTCTATTATTACTAATGATTTTCAATTTTTTTTCTTTGTAGGTTCACACTATATACTATATCGTGGCATGTTCACTCCTTGGAATCCTTTTGGTTGTGCTGTAATGTCTATGCAAATTGCAAATTTCTTTTGTTTGTGCAATGTTTGTTCAAATGCCAAATTATTAGAACATGTTTGGATGGATCATTTGAAGCCATAACATTGGCCTTTTAGTGGTTACTGTGATAGTTTTCCTCAACATTGCGCACGCACCTATTACAGAAACTGATAGTGGTTCCTTTTAATCATGGAAACATAATCCAATTTGTTATGCTTTACTTTCCAAGAGTAAATTATGCACACTTTGTGAAACTTATTTTTGTATTGGCTTCTAAATGTTCTGCGGTGTTCAATTGCTTCTGTTTCTTCTCTGGATTAGTCGCATATCTTAATTCTTCTAAAGATACCATTCCACATTATCTGTATATCATCCCACTTTTAAGTTGATGATGATGTTTCTTCTCTGGATCAGTCGCAAATCTATCCAGTCTCTTTACAGTTTGTTTAAATTCTATGTAATGGTACTAATATGACTGTTTTCTTTCATTACAAAAATACATGAAGAAAAAAAAGTTTCATTGTATTGTGATTTATCCATGGTTTTTATTTTTAGTTGTGGTGATCTGTTAATTCTAATTAATCTATTGGTGGAGCAGTTTGGAAAATATTTAATTTAATAGATAGAGATTGGGGTACTTTATAGCAGTTAATGAAGTATGAAGTAGTTATGCATTTTCATATATATCGTTTGCCATAAGTCTAAAATCAGGGACAGTAATTATCATGATCTGTTCAAATTTTTTATTAATTCAGAATTTGTGTTATGTTAATCTTATTTTGATTGCTATAATACTTCTATAGACTATACATAATAACTCTCTATCTATATTTATTTAGCATATAAATATAGATAGAGAGGTGGTTTATTTTCAAATGTTGAATTAAATGGGTATGAATTATAAATTGTTGCATATTTGTTTTTTAGAGAATGAATTGGAAAGTTGGTGTATATTTTTTATTCGAACAGGTGTTTACAAGTTATCGAACGAGTTATTCGAACATGTGTTTACAAATTATCGAACGAGTTATTCGAACAGGTATTTACGAGTTAGTCGTACGAACACGAACGAGTTACGAACGAACATGAACGAGCTTTTTGTTAATCGAACGAATACGAACACACATTCTATGTTCGTTCGAACACGAACACGAATAATCGAACGTGCTTATCGAACAATTTTCGAACGGGCCTATTCGTTCATGTTCGGTTCGATTGCAGGCCTAGTGCAACAATTAAAACCCTATTCCACTTAGGAATAGCCATGGGCTCCAACCCTAGTCTACCCTTGCAACCAAACACACCCTTTATGGTATTTTAATTAATTAATTATTATTATAATTAAAATCAATTAATATATAATAATATATTAACATTCAATTAATAATAATAATTCATTTAAATATATACAGAGGTATATTTAAATATAATCTCACTAATTTAATTTTAATATTAAAATTAAATACAAGCAACAACCTCGGCAAATTTAATTGCACTGTAAAATTACCAAAATACCCTTTTGTCCTAAAAGACGAAAATACCCTTCTCACAAAATTGATTCTTAAATTATCTTCTAAGTGTGTGACCCATAGACTCCTTATCATATCAGCAGTGAGTAGTATCACGATTAACACCAATTAATCGTCTCACTACACACAGACCAAGATTGGCCCCTAGCAAGGCATCATGGCCACCTGATAGATTCGGATTCAGCGAAACCGCAGCCTATCAATGGTATGGTTACCATGCAATCAAATCATTTCATCAATTGTTATCCCATCGAGACTGAGGTACAGAAATAGTGTCAACCTCAGATATCCTCGACATGTTTGTATTCAGTTACTGGACCAATGACAAGAATATTAAATTGGATTGAGCATCAACTCAATCCCACTGTGGCCACAGATTTAGTGTCATTGCCATTTACTGAATTACCTAGTGAGATAACTTATCCCGTACCCAAAAGTGATGAACCCTTTATCGATCCACCATAGTCTCGATACACTTCTCAATGTAGCCAATCACAATCGTATTGATAGCTCTGAATAGAACTACGTTGGGCTAGTGTCAAACTACACCAATTGGTGCACAAGGCGTTTTGGTGATCTCAAGTCTAAGGATCACATGCACCACCATCAACGCAAGTAATACTAAATCAACCTTAGCAACGGCATCAAAAACTTGATGCAACTAAATCAACCTTAGCAAGTGCACTAGTTGTGTTCAAGTAATAAAGTGATGAGTTTGAGTATCGTCCCACAGAGATCAAAGCAAATATTTGTAATTACCTAAAACTACCTACACGTTATTTGAGAAAACGAAATCTTAGAGTGTAAAAGTAACGGATTAAAAATAACTAAATTAAACAAATAAATAATGTGATGAACTTGGCAATATTAATGAAGTTAGGATATAGATTTCCCCCTAATTATGCTTGGCAACTACTCTTAATACCCGTTTGTGCTATGAATTGGTAGGATTCTTCTAAGGCCAATTATCCTTATTCAGGCATAATATTCAACTTAATACAGATCCCTGTTCGGTTACTCTTAAATTAAGAAGCATAAATTCATCAATCCCTTACGACTAATTCGCCCTATTCGGTTATGAATTAGATGGACCACAAATTAATCCTAGAATCTCTATTCGATTACTTCTAGTTTTAATATGTTGTGCAATGTTATTCCCATAAAACAATTATGAATATGAATTAAACAATAAACCATAACTTCTCTATTCGAAACATCATCAATGTAATTGAATCAATCCAACATTCATAAAGCATTAAACCTAAACTCTTGCACAAATTCATAAACATAAATCTGGTATTAAGAATAAAAATTGTTCAAAACATAATTAAGGTTCTATCACCCCTAACAAAAGAGATTTACTCCATCCTAAGAACAAAGAAATAAAAAAGAGAAGAAAGAAAACATATTTAGACTTGAAAATAAACAAAAATCAAACTCTTAAATCTGATCTTGAGTCTTCAAGCCCCAAGAATGCGTCTTCTCCTCTCAAAAATATGCAAAATTCGTCTCTTAACAACTAATCTCAATTATACTTAAATACCCAAAAGAGTCCTAAGTGAAAAAGGAAAGAAAAACTAACAAAAACGTCCTAACAGTTTCCGCCACAACCCAGGCCGTGGCCAACAGCCTAGGACATGGTGCTTTCCGGTCTCTTTGTTTTATCTTTGTTCCACCACCATGGCCATGGTGAACTACCAAGGCATGGCCATAGGCTTTAAGAATGTTAGGTAATCTCAACTTCTTCAAGCTTTAAGTGCTAATTTCACTCCAATACTCCAATCTACTCAATCAAGGTAGTTTGTTTTTTGTTAGAGATATAAATGGTTACCTATTGATGCTATCACGGAACTAAAAATATTAAAATCTGAAATATTAGAAACGAATTGCAGTAAAACTAAAATTAAGAATTCAATGAGAGAAAACGGCTAAGACTTCAGGCTCATCAATAACTTCTCTGCACCCCTCAATTTACTATGGTCAATGAATTTATTTAAGCAATGTGACAATAGGATTTCCTAGGTTAACCAATATTCTTTCTCAAGCAATATTAATTCTACTTCTATCTCACAACCTAGATATCTCTATATAGATTTAATGAAATAGATGAGCATTAAGCTTTATGAAATCCTCTAGCTTTCAGCACAAGTTAATCCTGCCTATAAATATTGCATGTATCAATTCATATATCTCTATATCCAATCAATCAATGGCCTATATTACTAGAGCACTCATGTTATATCTCCTCTTGGTCTCAATCACACAAAACAATTCTATTAGAAATTGATCAGGTTCCTAATAGCATTAAGCACATAATATAAGCTCATAATTAGAAAAATAATTCACTAACCTAGAGTAGAAGATTGATCACAGATCCATAAATAGAATAACCCTAGTCCCAGCCTGAGAAAATTAGTTCATAATAAAATAAATAAGAGTAGAATCCAAGAAATAAATCATATTGAAAAAGTAAAGACAAACTCTGTGATGAATTTTGTTCTTGATTCTCCTTTTTCTTTTGTTACACAATAATCTCTCCAAGAATAGGAAAAAAATCGGCCTCCCAAGAAGTAATCTTAATCACCCTTAAAAACCCAAAAGAGTCCTAAGTGAAAAAGGAAAGAAAAACTAATAAAAACCCTAAAAGTGTCCGACATGGTCAAATGTATGTCACCACAGCCTAGGCTATGGTGCTTCATGTCCGTGTTATTTTATCCTCATTCCACCACCATGGTCGTGGTGAACCACCAAGGCAAGGCCATGGCCTTCAAACTTGTCATCTAATCTCAATTTCTTCAAGCTTTCAATCCCAACTTCATTCCAATGCTCCAATCTACTCAATTAACGCCTGAAAATTACAGAAATTCTCCAAATCAATAGCTGACCATTCACATCTCAAACTTAACAAAAACTAACATCAAAACAAAGAAAACAAATGAGAAATTAACTAGAAGGCTATAAAAACAAACCTAAAAACACTAAATTTATGCAACATATCAACTCCCCCAAACTTAGTCCTTTGCTCGTTTCCGAGTAAAGAAAAATATTAGAAAAACAAACTCAACAATCATCAAGGATTCACAGCACTTCCAAAATCAAGGAAAGAAGGCAAACATGCTTTAAATAATTCTCATGCATCCAAACATACAACCCAGCTAATTGTGCAACTCTAATCTTTCCCCAACCCAGTCGTGCCTCACTTAGACTTTATACTTAACCCCTACTTATTTTTCTCTTTTTTTTTTTTTTTCATAGGCTTCTTTAGATTGTCGCATCACCTTTTTACGCGAATGCACACATTTGTGATGAATGCTCCTGGT